ATCTTTATTTGAATGTGGCAACATTTTTATTTTTAAACATTTATCTTTACTCTAAAATATTTCTATGAATAAATCTCTGACAGAGACTATCAGCCAATCACTGCATGCATAGTTAGTAAGCATACCGACATCATCCATAGCAACGAGGTCAACCCCACCCTTAATCTTAGCTTCAGACTTCTCTCTATTCCTTAGTAAAAGTTTGTCTCAGCAGCTTTGTGAATTGGTTTTAAGAGAAAACTCTTTGCTAAAAACTTTTACTGCTATTTAGGAGAACTCTTAGTGGTAAGATAAAATGTTTTGTGAATACGGGCCCAGGTTCTTATCTATTTCTACTTGTTGATTTTCAGAGACTTGAATCACTTGATTTTGACCAAAAAGAGTCTTTCAGATTCTGATTCGTTTGTTGATGTTACATTTATGCCAGTAGGTGGCGACAAATGAGCCATCAAAACAGAATCAGAATCAGAATGAGCTTTATTGCCAGGTATGTTTACACATACGAGGAATTTGTTTTCGTGACAGAAGCTTCCACAGTGTAACAGAATGACAGTGACAGAACGAAAAACACAGATAATAAAAAATAGAACAAGTAAATAAGGAATACAAATATATAAATCGACAATTGTATGTGCAGGTATATTACAATAGACAGTTTTGTATGTACAGGTACTGTATATTATGTGCAAATTTTAGGTGTAGACTGAGTATGAGTGTTAGATAAATAAGTGTATGAGTGTATAAATAGTGTGTGTTCCACAGTTATTGTTAAGTGTCATTATCCTTTGTTAAAAATGTGCTTGTCTACAAATGTCAACTAATGGTTTTCCTAACAAATGACAACAAAATAGATCTATTTTTGCTTATTCATGAATGTAATAAACAGAATAGTTTGGGATAATTCTGGGGTGGCAATGCTTTTTCTTAGGGTGGCAGTTGCCACTCAACGCCACACCAGTAGATCTGCCCCTAGCTGTACTTAAAAACATTAGAAGTCAATGTCCTCTTTTAGATGTAAGTGTGTGTGTTTGCTGTTGAATTGAAACAATGTGAATTTACACCACTTTAACATTTTATTTAGAAGTTGTTAAAATAGACAGAGCATGGAGAAGTAGTGATCACATTGTGGCTGTGGGCTTGTTAGGGTGAGGCCCCATCCACTTCTCTCCTGGAATATAAAAGAAAGAGAATGAATGAATGAACAATGAACAGTACGTCACAGTACACTCACATTGACCCGCTTTGAAACGGCAACATTAAAGGCACAATATGTAATTTTCGCTGCTAGAGGGCGCGTATTCAAAATAAACAAAGAAGCAAAGGCGTAGTTTGATGACGCCGTGACTGAGTGTGCATTCATGGGAGTTGTCGTCTTCATCCCCACAGCTGATGCAATCCGACATCTGTTATAATGCTACTCTGTGCGGTCGTCACCGGTCTATTAAAACACATAACATATTAAAGCGTCTTTGGTGTTTCCATGTTTTCTACAAAACAAAACCAGAAATTGAAGGGTTATGACGTCATTGGCAGTCGACACAATGACACTATGGACACGCTCCATGTCTCTAGTTGAAATTGCTTATTTCTCTGGATTTAAACATTCTTCGAAAAATTTGGGATAATGTAAGTACACAAGTCAGCAAAATATATAACACTGTTCTAGTGGCTTTTGGATATTTTAATAAAAAAATCTGACATATTGTGCCTTTAATTGGTTTAATTGCAGGTGAGTGACAATTCAACTATACCAATGAACAATGAGGCTAGTATTTTGCTGCCTGTCTTGACTGGTGGACTTGCGTATAGGGGATGTTACGGTTATGGAGGCCCCGCCTTAAAGCCCGAGGCCCTAGGCAATATGTGACCCTGGACCACAAAACCAGTCTTAAGTCGCTGGGGTATATTTGTAGCAATAGCCAAAAATACATTGTATGGGGTCAAAATTATAGATTTTTCTTTTATGCCAAAAATCATTAGGATATGCCAAAGTAAAGATCATGTTCCATGAAGATATTTTGTAAATTTCCTACTGTAAATATATTAAAACATAATTTTTGATTTGTAATATGCATTGCTAAGAACTTAATTTGGACAACTTTAAAGGCGATTTTCTCAATATTTAGATTTTTTTTTGCACCCTCAGATTCCAGATTTTTAAATTGTGGTATCTCTGCCAAATATTGTCCTATCATAACAAACCATATATCAATGGAAAGCTTATTATTCAGCTTTCAGATGATGTATAAATCTCAATTTCGAAAAATTGTTTTGTGGTCCAAGGTCACATATAGCTGCTCTGCCTATAGGTAGCACCGACCCTGCGCACATCATAAATCCGTCTTTTTGGCAAGTACCAGATAGTCTATGGGAGTAATGTAATAAAATATCTTTAATACAACTGAATTTGTATTTAACATGATCACAATTTAATAAAAGCAAACTACTAATTATAAAGCTTTAATTTCCATGGTTATTCAAACGGAATAAATACAGAAAGTGAGCAAAGAACCTTCACTTTATCAAAGAACATTATCACTGACTTCAGTCTAGCCTGAGTTTAAGCACTCTCAAAAAAAAAAAACCTCGTTATAATCAATGAATCTGTATATACTGTGAAATGAATCTCTTAAATTCTACGTACATCTGCACTTTGTTGTTTATCAGAGAACTGGCAAGAGTGCAGAATTCAGTCAGCGCATGCAAGCACTGAGCAAAACTCTGGTGTTTCAGCGATGATAAACGAGTCTGATTGGCCATTGCATTCATAAGATCAACAGAATCGTGTGTGATCGGTTACAATGCTCAACGCTGTTAAAACGTGTAAAAAATAAGACGCAACATGAGCAGATCTAAATTGAATGCCACAGTCAACACTTTCTTATTTAATTTTCACTTTATTCGCGACAGCCGTGATAGATTTGTTTTAACTGCACAGGGGCATTTTTTAAAATGGGTTACTTTTTTTGCACCCAAAATTGTTTGGTGCAATACCATTCCAAATTTAGGGGGCCCCCGCACATTTATTGTTACTCACTCCAGACACAAGTATAAAGTCTTTGCATACATATATGAAATGTATGAAATGATCACACACTCTTCTTATGCTCCACATACACAAACACTTATGACATTCTAATACGTGGAAGGTACTCTTTGAATTTTAAAAACAGTATGTGTGATTGATTTCATGTGCGTGGTGTGTGTACAAACGGTCTTTTATGAGACTATAAGATTGTTGCACATGTGTGGCCAAGACTAAATAAACGAATCACTCTATGAGACAACTCGTTTGAGTTATTTAAAAGATAAGTTCAAAATCAAAGAATCGTTCATGGACGAACCACGACTAGTTTACACTTTTTTTAACATGACAGTTATTGGAGTAACTTTTCTAAAAATATAAAGCATAACGTAAATTTGTAAAATAATCGACGATGGCATTAGTCAAACTAATTGTTAATAAAGGTTATCGGGTAATTTGTTAACAGTTTACATCCCTAGTTCATAGTTACCGATGCGTTGAGCCATGAGCTCAAATCTGTCAGAACCAAAGAAGACCTCAGTCTTCCCGTTCACATCACACACGATGAATGGAAGACCAAAGGACTGAAAAAAGAGGAAAAAGTGAAAATAACTGTGAAAACAAGTTTTATCATTTATTTACCACTATGAAAAGACAAAGGGTTTAAAAACACAAGTAAAAGGCACTGACTCGATAGTCCAGTGCTTCTTGTGTGACACTCTTCAGCTTGTCTTTGATTTGCTGAGATTGGGAAAGGATCAGAATTTCTTCCACCTCATTGGCTGAGAGACCTGCCTTTAATCCTGCCTGTGCAAAACAGAAAGGCAAGCCTATAGTTAACACACTATTTTATCAAACAGTAGTTTGTTTTATTGTCTTTCCTACTGGTTTACTATAGATAGATATGCCAGTCTTCACCTTGGTGCTAAAATGAAATTTTTTCATATGCATAATGGAATGGAGTAATAATTGAAAGATTATCACGTAAATGTTAGTGATTGTTTTCTCATTTAGTTTGATTTAATTTCTTAATCTTGGGTATAGGATACCTCAATTAATGAGGCAGGCTGGGTAATGTCCTGATGAGTGCTCCAGACATTCTTCCAGAGCTCTCTAGACACCCTTTCCACCAGCACGCCTCCCTCTTTTTCTTTCTCAGCAACAGCTGTCACAAAACGCATCACATTCAAAGTGCCTTAGTTGGAAAGAAAGGGAGAAAAATAGATTAATTGTGATTAACCTAAATAACCAATGTTTACGTAAAAATGAAAAATACCTGAAATTTTGTAATTTCTTTTTAAATAAACAAAAAGACAGATTATGCTTCATTAAATTACAAAAACAAAAACAAAGTGTAGCACTACTTGCATGCCCTTGTAAGGGACCTCACTGGCAGGGAAAAATCTTTTCCAAAAAGTTTATAATAAAAATGACTTTAAAAACTGTCCACAGCATTCTTCTTCTATTTGAGTGAGAAATCAGCTTAAAGTATGTCTTAAATTGTGACTGTGGTCATGAGCCATCATAAAGAGAAACAGTGGTTGGAATACCCTTCTTACAAGGTAAAGGTGGATTCACAGGGACCCCAAAGAACTCAGACAGCTGCTTCAAATCTGTGACCATGTAATGAAACTTATTTTGGACCAATCCAGGTTCCTGGTTACCTAGAAATAAAGCAAAAATGTTTTGTGACATTGTGAAGAAAATCTCAACAAAAGCAACAAATTGTTTGACATTTACCTGAACCATGAAAGACTACTACCCCTAAAAATGCCGGTTTGAATTTGAGGTCAATGTTCCAAACATTTCTATAGCGACACAGCACCTTAAAACACAAAATCAACACACACACAATACTGACACTGCATAAGCACCGATGGCATGGCAATGAATATACTAAGGATAAAAAACTTTCGCACCTCAAATGCCAGCCAGGAATAAGGAGAGATGACATCATAGAACAGCTTGACCACTTTTCTGGAACTGGACATCTGTAATAAGTAATCACAATATAATATTCACACATCCAAACATATAAGTATGGACTACAATATATATATTACAATATATTATAATAGCATTTACAGGCATGATGGTACAAAACCCTTGCTGTGTTCTTGTTCTGATTCCTTTTAATGGGAGAAGAATGGAGCTGCAGGTCAGAGATCTCGAAATGGTCAGGATCTTCAAACAAAGAAACACATAGGCAAACCCTACCCTCAAAACTAACTGTCTGTCTTGTACTTCCCCTTTTGAATGTTCTCCAAACCTATTTGGAATTCTTCTCCCTTTTTGGAAATCACTTGTCTGTCACCATGTCTATGTGTTTAATGGTTGTTGGCAAACCAGCTTAGTTGGGATCACTGTTTCATATGCTTTGCATCTTCGCACATGCTGCGTGTCTCTGGGAGTTCACACATACTATACCTTCCTGACTATAGTTTCCCAGTTCCAAGAAAGGTTCTACCAATGTTCCCTCTATTTTTTTTCTTGCTGAGCAAAACTTTTCACTATTTGGTGGACATTTTGGCCACCTGAGCAAACGTTCTTTATACCAGACCTGATATAGGCTATACCAAACATAAAAAAAAAGAATTCTGTTAAATTCTTTAATATTTAATATTTAATTACATTTTTTTATATAATATGAAAAATGAAGCAGATATTGCATGTGAAATGCCTTTTTGAGGTAAATTATTTATTAGGTTTATAATATAAAAACAAACTGAAGCATTTAAACTGATAGCATAGAATAGAACAGAACAGAAAACAAATGAAGCATTTAAATTGAGATATGTAAGCTAAATATAAAAAAAATAAACGTGAACATGTGAATTCTTATAGTTATCTAGTAGAGTTTAGAGTAGTAGAGTTTGAACACTAGGCCTACTAGCTACACCTGTGTTTGACTGTAAATGTCTCTTGTAAATGACTGTAAATGTCTCTATTTATCTACCGGGGTGGCAACTGCCACCCTAAGAAAAAGCTGTGCCACCCCAGAATTATCACAGAATAAAATGTAAATGTAAGCAGTGCTTCATGTGCTACTTTTCAGCCGCGGCGATGACAGAGTAACGCAAAATAATGGCAAAAACACGTCTTTTAATAAACTGTGCGATGGTTGCACGCGCACGCAGCGTGCCAATGTAGTCGGCTTCATTAACTCTTATGAACCGGTTATTTTTTAGTCAAAGCCACAAAGCGCGGCCCAGTTCACTAACGAATTGTTTTTACATTTGTTCGTGAATCAGATAATTACTGCTTTTCAGGTAACACATAAATCCTCTGAGAAATCTAATCCCGTCCGGATAGACTATGTCTGAGATTCATCGCGTAATTGTTTGGTGATCCGATTCTCCGACCGCTCGCTCCACTTTCATCATGAATATAAGCCGTAACAATATGAAATCAATAAGAAGATGCCGATCACGGAAACTATCCCAGCAAGCAATAGCCGTCATTTCAACGTCTCGGTTAAGTATAGACCCGATATAGTCCGGCTGTGTAACCCACTTCTAGCCCAAATAACCTTGAATTTGATTTCATGTCATTTTTTGGCAAAATAACTTGAGATGTACGATATTCCATCATGTAAGCAAAGTAACACCGTTTACAAGGTGTTTGGTTTCATTTCTTTGACATGTTCAATGCTTAGCCTGTTTATAGCCACGATTTAGCTCGTAGTCCGAGCAGCTATCTGTAGCCCACTTATAGTCAAACCTGATTCACTGTAGTTTTTGGCCAGGCAGCGCATGAGATGGTTGATATCCCATCATGTTCGCATTGTCAATAATATCTACAAAGATATAAGTGTCATTTCATGACATGGTCTATATGTAGCCACGATTTAGCTCTAAATTGGACGGGCTACGTGTAGTCTGCTTTTAGCCCACCTGGCGAAATCGAGGCGATCTGTGGTCTAATTTTAACGGCTTGGCTATAGCCCTATACCAGTAACCAGACCAGCCATTGAGCATAGCCAAAATAGCCTTAAAATTGTTTACATGTAATTTTCGCCCACGCAGCTTCTTATCAAATGCAAGTAAACTTTTGAAACATTTAAATTAGCATTATTTTATATTTTATTTAATTATTTTACAGCAACGTTGCTCCGAGAGCTAGTGAGAATCATTTCAATTCTGCACAGAATTCACTGTCATAAACAGCACTGACATATGTCTGGAAACCAGAAGCAGTAACGTTAACTGCAACCATTGTGTTGTGGTAGAAATAGTCGAATGCATTACATCATTCATTTCAGGGTTTGTACAACCTTTTGAGGGAGAAATTCAAGCACTTTTCAATTACTTTCAAGCATTTCACACAACTATTTCCAGAACTTTAAATAAAGCTCTAAAATGATCCAGTTTGAATGTTATTTTTAATGGGATGACCAAAATATAATTTTTGGTAAACAAACACTTATGTAAAATTTAAAAAATACATCAAATCACAATTATAACCAGTAGACGGCAGCAGAGGAGCACTTATTGGCTTATTAGTCATTCATTTCTACTTTTTCTCTATATTTTGAAATTATAAAATCACTATTATAAAATATCAAATCATCAAGAAATCAGATTTTGTCAGATTTTTACACTTTTTTTGTGTATGAAGTAAGAAAAGTCGCAAAGTGCCTTGAAAAACAAACTTTTCTTAAATTTGCTACTAAATCACACATAATCACTGAAGTTGGTCAGTTCCA